CAGAAGCTGTCATTCTGGAGACAAGAGGATAAATTAAAAAGAAATTTAAAAATTATTACAGCCTGTTGGATGGTGATATGTGTTTGAGGAGGAATCATACAAGGAAAGATCAGGTGACATGGAGGGACAATTCCAACATCTGAGAGCATGAACTGTGGTTCTGAGCCTAGACTTGATGCTGGTGAGAGAGCAGACTGTGTGTTGCCCTAAAGGAGATCAGCCGGGAAGATGGGGAGCAGTGTCCCAGCTCTGAGGCAGAAGCAGCCTGGTGTGTGATAGAGACAAAACTCAGGCGTGACAGTCCAGGGGTGCCTGGAAAGATAGACCCCTGGAGGGAGGTGAGACCCAATGGTGTGCAGCCTAGTGAAAGCTTGCAGCAAATGCAGGAACCGGGAAGCCATTGAGGAAATCAGAGATATGGTTGAACAGTCTTTTAACTGATTCTCTTGGCGGCTCTTTTCAGAATAGACTAGTGTCCACAGCAGCCAAACAGAGAATGGGGAGGACACACAAGGCAAGAGGGGATGGTGGCTCAACCAAGGAGGTGAGGTGGAGAGTGAGGTTTAATTTCTGGATATATCTTGAAATTCAAGTTGACTTGGGGACTGAAAGTCTAGAGTAAGGATGGTGCCCAAGTGTTTCCCCTGAGCATCAGAAAGGATGGGTTGTGTTTGATGGACAGAGAGGAGGGTTTTGAAGGTGATGTTCATTCTGAGAAGACAAAACTTCAGGAGAGAATTGGAGAAGACGATATGGGAATTGTGGGTCCCGACAACCCTATGAGAAAATTGGCTGCGAAGAGGACAGAGGGATGAGACTGGTGAAGGAGTCAAATTCTCTTGACTCCTCCTCTGGGTCCTCCCAGAGGTGATCCATGAATTCCCACCTGTATTGGTTTTCTGGGGCCATAGTGACAAATTCCCACACACTCTGTGTCTTTAAAAAATGGAAATTTAGTCTCTTAGTTCTTGAGACCAGAAATCCATGTAGGGAGTAAAAATATCTTCTCCCTCTGCCCTTCTAAGTTGTTGATGGAGAACTCAGAAACAAAGAAAGATTGGGTGCCACATCTTGGGGTAACATGTCCTACACCCCATCACGTGTAATGGGTTCTATTGTGTAGAAATCCGGTTTTTGGTTGGGATGCACTCGGTCCAGAGGCTGGATGAGAGAACCCATCTCTTGCTGCTTCCAGGTGATGGGATGACAGCTGTCCTTGGTTTGTGGCTGCATCACGGAGACCCATCTCCTGGTCACATGGCCTCGTTCTGCTCTGTGTGTAGAAAGTCACCTGCTATGTCTATGTTGGGAACACTTGTGATTGGCTTCAGGGATCAACCCTAATAATCTAGGATGTTCTTCATGTGAATATTCTTACCTTAATCCCATGAGCAAAGCCCCCTTTGCCCTTATATGGTAACATTTTGAGGTACCAGGGTTTAAGACCTGGGTATCTCTGGGTGGCCATCATTCAGCCCTCTGCACTGCCCATGTGACCTTTTGCAACCCTTGAATGTCTCCAGACCATGTTTGCTCTGCTTTTCTATGTCCTGATACATTAGTGGGTCACCTCATGAGTGACCCATATTTTAGGGATCAGGAGCTTGCTGTTCTGTGAAAGTTACTTCAAAGAGAGCTAAAGGAGCCCAGCTGCTGTGGGTCAGTGGTTGAGTGTCAACCCAGGAACCAAAAGGTCTCTGGTTTGATTCCAGGTCAGGACACATGCCAGAGTTGTGGGGTCTATCCTCAGTAGGGGGCATGGAGGAGGCAGCCCAACGATGATGTTTCTTTCTCATGATTGTTTCTCTCTCTCTCCCTCTCATTTCCTCTCTGAAATCAATAAAATAAAATAATAATGGGAAATAACAAGACTTGGAGCAGATATGGAGAAAGTGAAACTCTTGAGCTTTGCTCTACATTCCAAGGTTCTGTATCTGCTTTTAAATACAGTGTGGCAGTTCCTCAAAACATTAAAAATAGAATTACCATAAGAACCAGTCATTTCACTTCTGGGTATTTACATAAAGGATTGAAAGCAGGAACTTTAATGGATATCTATACATCTCTGTTCATAGCAGCATTATTCACCATTAGGTGAAAATAACCTAAGGGCCCATGGACCAAGAAACAGACAAACACAATGTGGTGTACACATACATGGGAATGTTATTCATCCTCAAAAAAGGAAGTGAATTCTGACTCATGCTACAATGTGAGTTGAAGATACTATGCTAAGTGTAGCAAGTCAATCACAAAAGGACAAATGCTATGTGATACCACTTCCATGAAGTACTTAGACTAGCAAATTCATAGACATAGACCATAGAATGGTGGTTGCCAGCATCTGGGGGGATGGAGAGCTGTACTTTTCATGGGCACAGAGAGTCAGTTTGAGAAAAATGACAAAAGATCTAGAGATGGATGGTGGTGATGGTCCCACAACAATGTGAATGTCCTTAATGCCACTGACCCAGACAATTAGAAATGTTTTTTTTAAGTTTGTGTTACCACAGTTTTATAAAAAAAAAAAACAGTCACAGAATTAATCTGCCATTTCACCTAATAAAAAAATAATGGCAGCTACCCACATGAAAACAAGCTTAACATCAGTTGTTAGAAAATTACAGGTTAAAACCAGGATGAGGTACAATGGAATACCACTTAGTAATAATACATTACAAAGTACACATACATAGAACTTGGATCAATTTCACAAATTTTATGTTGAGTGAGAGAATATAGACACAAATCAGTACTTTATAGGAATTCCCCTATAGACAAAATTAATTCTCCATGATTGAAGGTGAATCGGGGGCTGGAGGTGGCAGTGATGAACTACAAAGACATGGGGGAAAAGTCTCGGTGATAGTAGGATGCTCTATATTTTCATTGTGGATCAATCCCATTTGTTCAAATTCATGGAAATGCATACACAAGTGACTACATTTTATTTTATGTAAATTATGAAATTATTAAAAGAAATACCATTGGAACTCACAGAATCCTCCCTTCCATGAAAATGGTATAACTTTCTTTATAATACACAGCATTTGTAATGGTTTTTCTATTATATTCTTACATGTTTTTTTAACAGCCTAGAACAAGGTATCATTTTACTTACTGGAGATTCAATATCTTTTTCTTATTTTTTATTTAGATTTGAGAAAGAAAAGGTAAGTGTAAGAGAGAGAGAGAGAAGAGAGAAACATCGATTTGTTGTTCCACTTTTTACGCATTTATAGATTGCTTCTGGGAGACTCGCGTCTCATCTACAGATGTCCTCAGAGGTCCTGGTCCAGCTCTGGTGCTGAAGGGAAGCTCCTGAGATGGGACAGGACACAGAGTCAGGACTTGTGTCCAGACCTGTGATCTAACCCACAACTTTGGTGTATCAGGAAGACCTCTAAACAACCGAGCTCCCCGGCCAGGACAAAACTCAATTTCTTATCCACCAAATGAGGTCACAAAAGTCTCTCTGTATTAGTAAGACTGAAGGCCCATCTATGTAGACACTACTGTGTTAGAAAGATTTTACAAATATCTGGTGGCAAATGCTTTTATGTCACCGGGATCAAGAGTTTGCCAGATGCATATCCACAGACTCAGATGGAAAACCACATGAGCTGAACCTAAATTTTAATTGTAGCTGCATATTCCATTTATGTTTCCTAGAAATATTACATGCTTAGAGCCACATTTTACTGTGAGCAGCATATTTTTGATCAACCTTACATATTTTTATTTTATGTAGAAATCAGAGCCCTTATAGTCCAACTTAGAATTTGAGGTGCCTTACCATTTTATAGCATTTCTAAGGTAGCAATATTTTTAAAGCAGAACAGAAATAGCCTAGGAAAAAAGAAATCATTCTACCAGGCAGATAGAATAACAAATATTATGAAATTAAGTCTAGATATGTCCCTGAGATTCCCAGCAGTCAATGCAAAAAGGAAATTGTGAACTCTTGCTGAGACAAGAAAGTATGTACTTTATTTGAAAGGCAAATATCACCTTACTCCTAAGACCGGGAGAAACATACTCCATCTGGAAAGAACTTTGCAAATATAACAGAAATGTTTGACCTCATTGTTCATCCGCAACTTTGCAGCGTTTTTCCATGACAGGAAATGCTCATCTGCATGATGTGGAACTGAGACAGTCTCTCCCGTTCACACACTCTGAGTGACGGAATCATAGAGAAGAGTTTCCTGCCCTGACATCAGGGAACGTGTGGTCTCCTTTGTGTTACATGAAGATGAGACACAGTTTTCACTTTGGAGATGCCGTCATTGAAACAGCGCGAATCAGAATAAGATGTAAAATAGGAACCCGCACTTGTGTTTTTAGGAAATACCTGCGTGCCACCAGGACACGTGGTAGACTGATGAGTGACAGAAGCTCTAAAGCCCGACAGCACTGTGTTTGGGAGGCAGTGATGTCACTAGTGGGGATCACCACAGGGACATAGACCAGGTCCATGGATCTGTTCTTGTCTTGTCTTCAGCCAACCATGTAGATGTTCACTGAGTTTTTGGTGAATGAATGAATGAATGAATGAGTGAATGCTGCCTTCACTTCACTTGGGACCCCCTTCTTTACTTCTGCCTCAAACTCTCACATGGACATTACAGACTCCTACACCTTGTAGGACCGACCACAGCTTCTAGATGAGGCTGGCACCTCCCGTCAATGCAGGAGTGAACCAGCTCGCTGATGTAGACACCAGAGCTCAGAAAAGGCCCCAATGGGAGGACCTTAGGAAGCTCCTGTGCGCCCTCCTCAGGTGTCCTCAGCAGTCCTGGTTCTGCTCTGGAGCTGCAGGGAAGACATGAGATTGGACAGGACTTGGGGCTAGCTTTCTGTCTGTCCTGGGCTGTGGGGTGTCTGCCTGCTCTGTGCAGAGAGGGGAAGGGCTTGGGCTCTGAGGTTCCTCTTTCGTGCTCCTCCCCAGCTTCCGTGGTCTCACCACGGTCTCTTCTCCCACTGTCTTCATTCTTTTTTCACCCACAGGAGCCCAGAAACCTTCCATGTCAGAGATGCTGTGGCTGCTGCCTCTGCTGTGGGCTGGTGAGTATCTGAGGGGAGACGGGGGAGTAGGGCAGGGGCTGGGGCTGACCCTCCTTCTTCTGCAGGGTCCCTGGCTAAGGATGGAGGATACACAGTGAGTGTGCAGACACCTGTGATGGTGCAGGAGGGCTTGTGTGTTTCTGTGTCCTGCAACTTTACTGCATCGCGGACCTCTTGGACTTCTATCCATACATATGGCTCCTGGTTCCCAGAAGGGGCTAAGGAATTCCACGATGCTGCTGTGGTCACAAGCAACCAGACTCGTAACGTGCAGGAGGAGACCCAGGGCCGATTCCACCTCCTCGGGGATCCCAGAACCAACAACTGCTCCCTGGACATCAGAGACGCCAGGAGGACAGATAACAGATCATATTTTTTTCGAGTGGAGAGGGCAGGTTACCAAGAGTTTAAATATTCTTACAAAGATAACATGCTCTCCGTGCAAGTGACGGGTAAGGATCAGGCTCCAGGAGAGGCCTTGGGAGAAGTTCACGGTGGCCCCGGGCAGAGCTGGGATGAGACCCCATCCTGGGAGGGGGTTGGGGTACAGTGTGTTGGGCTCAGAGGGAGGAGCTGAACCAAAGCCCGAGGCTTCTCTCAGGGCTGCACCTGGGACCCTCACTCCTGATCCCCTGTCTCCCCCTCCTCACTAGCCCTCAACCACACACCCCACATCCTCAACCCGGGGACCATGGAGAGCGGCCGCCCCAGGAACCTGACCTGCTCTGTGCCCTGGGCCTGTGAGCGGGGCACGCCCCCCACCTTCTCCTGGACGTCAGCAGCCCACACCTCCCTGGGCCCCAGGACCCGCCTCTCCTCCGTGCTCACCCTCACCCCACGGCCCCAGGACCACGGCACCAACCTCACCTGTCAGGTGCATTTTCCTGCCGCTGGTGTGACCGTGGAGACAACCATCCAGCTCAACGTCACCTGTGAGTGCTGGGTGGGAACAGCAGGTCCCTGAGGGTGTGCAGAGCAGGAGGGCCAGGCAGGGGTGCTGGGTGCTTTGTCCTGGGGACCTGGCTGTGTAGGGGACCTCGAGGACACAAGCCCTGCCCATCTTGCATTTATGTGGTCTCTGAGGGAGGAGGGGGGAATGCCTAAATGATCCTTACTCCATCTCAGCCCACTGAAGAAGGAATTCCTCTCTTCCTGTCCTAGGTGCCACACAGAATCCAACACCAGGTGGTTGCCTAGGAGACAGTGCAGGTGGGAAGGAGCCTTCTGTCATGGGGCATTGACTGACGTGGGTCTCTGTCTGGGTGATTCAGAGTTGGACTTCAGAGATCAGGAGGGGGTGTGGGTGCAGTTAAACGTGAGCACCCCTATCTCACCTCTTCCCCAATACCCTCCAACTACTGTCTGACCAGATTGACCACAACCTTCTCCCTGCCCTCCCTAACAGATGCTCTTTATCTTCCCCCAGTTACAAATGCCTTGGGGTATTTTAGAGTAGACTTTAGCTTTAAGAGCAGTTATAAATTCACAGCAATATTGAGCAGGAGACAGAAGGCAGAGAGATTTCCCCTAACCCTGTCGCACCCTCCCTCACATGCACATCCCCCACCAGAGGGCACATTTGTACAATCGATGAACCTACACTGACACATCATTGTCAACTAAAACTAATAATTATGGTTTACTCTTGGTGTTGTACACTCAATGGGCTTGGACATTGTATCATGACACCTGTACACCATTATAGTGTCATGTAAAGCAGTTTCACTTCTCTGATAATCTCTATTTTTTGCTTGCCCTCCCCTTGGCCCTTACCTTGACTTGTCTCTGGAGCCCTATCCTCCTCCTGCCCTATTCCCATTGGTGACATCATCTAGTCCCCACCCCACTGGTCAGTGACCCTGTTAGGACTCTCTCAGCAGTTCCATCAGACTGTAACAGGTGATGCTCAGAGACACATCTATAACCCCAGGGCTCCTGGGAAGCATGGCCAAATGAGACCAGGAAAGCTGGATTTCACCTTCTTCTGGAGGCACAAAAGACCACCTTTGACCCTGAGCGACTGGGCCAGTTGAGGCCAGGAGACAAGATTCTGACACCTTCCCAGGAAGGAAAAAGAGAGGTCTTTTGGCAACCCACAGCGCTCTGGAGTGCCCATGGGACACTGAGGCTCAAGGTCCTGCTGCAGCCAGTTTTGGGGTCTGTGGCAGAGAAATCTAATGGAGAAGATCCCAGGTCCTAGAAAAGATGAGGTTTGCCGCACAGGAGTGTGGGAACTGGATAGGAGATGTCATGTAGACCGTGTCCTTCACCCCATGGTTCTGGAGGACCTAGTTGCTCAGCCCTGGATGGGAGGAGATGGGCACCCATCTCTTCATGCTTGAGAAGAGGGTATACATGCCTGTTCATCAAGCTTGGAGTTCACCCATGTCTCTCTTGTCTGCAGGGGAACCGAGGACGAAGGCAGACGTGGTTCGGGCGGCTGTCGGGGGAGCCGGTGTCACTGCACTGCTGGCTGGCTGCCTCTGCCTCATCTATTTTGTGTGAGATGGGACAGGTGTGGGCCAGAGGTGGAGAATAGGGACCTGGAAAAGTTGTGAGGGCCCGGAGAAGGGTAAGGTGTGCCGTGGTGGTGAGAATCCAGCCCATAGCCACTGAGCCAGGCCTGAATCGGGAGGTGTGGGGGAATACCTTGTTCCAAAGTCTTGTTATGAAGGCTCCTGGTCTTTACCCACTCTTGACCTTCCCTAGTCACTCACTCCAGCCTCAAAGAGTGACCCTGTGTCAAAGACCCTGGTATCTCCCAACAGAGTGAAGACCCGCAGGAAGAAAGCCGGGACAGCAATGAGCATGGACAACATCCACACTGCCATGGGGCCAGCTTCCCTGGTGAGTATCATGGACAACCTGGTATGCAACCCTGCCCCCACTTCCTGGGTGGCCCACATTTGCATTGCATTCAGCATGTCCAGAAATGAGCTCTTCACCTTCTCACTCTTTTGAAAAATGTAGGTTTTATTATTATTCAGGTATGTGAGGCCAACAGATCAGGAGACATCTTGTCGATTTGTTCCTCACAGTTCCCAAGAGGGGAAAATGTCACACCACAGGCCCACATAGGGCAGTGGGGGCGGCGGATCTTGTGGGACGGAGCCTTTAACCTGTGCGATCTGACAATATCTTCAGGTAGATGGTGTCAGAACAGAGTCCAGTTGTAGGATGTCCAGCTGGTGTCAGAAAATTGCTTGGTGAAAGAGTAAAGGAGATCCCTGGCTGGGTGGCTCAGTTGGTTAGAGCGTCATCTCATACACCAAAAAGTTGCAGGTTTGATGCCTGGTTTGGGCACACACAGGGGCAAGTGATCAATGTTTCTCTCTCACATCGATGTTTCTCTCTGCCTTCCTCACTTTCTATAAATCAATAAAAACATATCCTTGGGGGAGGATTTTTTTAAAAAAAGGAATAAAGGAGAGACACACAGGAGGGAAGTTCTTTTTCATAAACATCTCCCTGCATATCCAGTGTTTGGCACACAGGAGAGCTCTGAGAGACCAGGGGTTGAGTTCCTGACCAGTAGATGTGAGCTCTTGAGAAGCATCTAACTTCCCTGAGACTTACTGTCTTTCTTTGTAAAATAATAGTATTTTCCACAAAGGTCTGTGTGAGTGGTCACTAGAATTGGAAAGCAACCAATAAGAGCTATCTTTGTTGGATAAGTGATTAAATGGGACCTTGAGAAATATTCAATAAAAGAATGAAAGAATGATCTGACCAATATTTCTCAGTGGTTAGAGTGTCAGCCCATGCACAGAAGGGTTGTGGATTCAATTTCTGGTCAAGGGCACGTACCTGGGTTATAGGTTCTATACCCGCCCCATTCAGGGTGCATGCAGGAGGCAACCAGTAGATGTGTCCCTCTCACATCGATGTTTCTCTTTCTCTCTCTCTCTCCCTCCCTCCCTCTCTAAAAATCAATGGAAAAAGATATCCTCAGCTGAGGATTAAAAATAAATAAATTTTTTAAATGTATTTTAAAAAATGGAAGAATGAGCAAAGATCCTATTACAATCAAATTCGTTGCAGGAACTCCCCCGCCCCTACCTCCACCCTGCTCCGACCTTGGTGTTCTTTGCTCTTCACACAGGGTCACCAGAAGACTCCGGAGTTTGACAGCCCAGCTGCTGACTCCACTAGCTCTGCAGAGGCCGCCCCGACCTTGAGGGTGGAGCCAGAGGTGTATTATGCCTCCATCCGCTTTCAGGGGAAGAAACCTCCTCAGAGAAGCACCGAATCAGAATACTCAGATGTCAGGACCCAGTGAGAGGCCGTAATGTCCATATCCCTCTGAGAGGAAGGGGGACCTACCAGCTGACTTTTGGAGAGCTCACATCCCCACAGGCAGTGCGTTTATAAACTACTGTATATGCCTTTCCTGGTATGTTGGAGCTATCTTAGGCATTGCAATCAGAGAGACCTGGGAGCACGTTCATGCTCTTTCCATCGCTTAAGAAGAATATGACATCACCTGAGCCACCTTACTCCTCCGGGACTTGATTTCCTGATTTGTGATCAGGCAGAAGAAGTTCTACATCGCAGGGTTGCTATGAGCATTAAATAAAAGTACGCATGGAACCTGGCTGGCAGCTCAGTTGGTTAGAGTGTTGTCCTGTTACACCAAGGCTGTGGGTTTGAGCCTCAGTCAGGGCACACACAACAATCAACCAATGGGGCTGGCTGGTGTGGCTCCGTTCGTTGAGTGCTGTCCTGTGCACCGAAAGGTTGCTGGTTTGATTCCAGGTCAGAGAACATGGCCAGGTTTCTGGCTCGAGTCCCAGTAGGGGCCGTGCAGGAGGCAGCTGATCAATGCCCTGCCCTCACATCCATGTTTCTCTTTCTCTCTCCCTCTCCATTCCTGTCTTTCAAAAAATATCAATGAAAATATTTTTAAAAGAAGAACCAACCAATGAATGCATAAGTGGAACAACAAATCGATGTCTCTCTCTCTCTCTCAAATCAATCAATAAAAAATATTTAAAAAATAGATATGGTGCCTGGCTGGTGTGGTTCAGTGGTTGAGTGTGGACCTATGAACCAGGAGGTCATGGTTCAACTCCTGGTCAGGGCATATGACTGGGTTGTGGGCTCAATTCTCTCTTATCATTGTTGTTTCTCTCTTTCTCTCTTCCTTCCTCTCTGAAATCAATATAAAAAGATATATTTTTAAAGAATTCTTTAATGCTGAAAATCTTACATATGTCTCCTTTATTCCCCCATTGACCCCTTCCAACCCACCCCCGACCACCACCCCCACCCAAAACCTTTAACACCCAATTGTCTGTGTCCATGGGTCATGCATAGACGCATACAAGTTCTTTGGTTGATTACCTCCCACCCACCCACCCTCCCCCGCCTTCCCTCTGAGATTCCGCACTCTGTTCCATGCTTCCATGTCTCTGGATCCACTTCGTTCATCAGTTTATTTTGTTATGTAGATTCCACATATGAGTGCGATCATGTGATACTTGTCTTTCTCTGACTGACTTATTTCACTTAGTATGACATTCTCCAGGTTCCTCCAGGCTGTCTCAGTGGGTAAGAGATTCTTCTTTAAAAAAGATGTTTTTTAAAAGTACATATGGGAAACACCCAGCAAAAGTCCTGGTATGCTGTGAGAGTTTGATGCATGCTCCCCGGGATGGAGTTAGTGGCGTCACTCAGAGGCTGGGTATAATCTGTCCTGTCCTGGACACTGTATTGCAACATGTCAGCCTCACTCTCTACACAGATTCCTTCTGTGGATCCCTTCCCATCATCTCGTTCCACTCCTGAATCTTCCCGTCCATCCTGCCTGCCTGCTACTGGCAAAATCACTTACTAACACTTACAGAATTTCCTAAAACTGAGAGCCAAAACACTGCTCTATCTCTTCAGCCAGAAAGAACCATTGACAAGCTTCTGAATTCGACATTCTAGATCACGAATCAGGGAAAAAAACTTTGTAAGGGGACAGAGAGCAAATATGTTAGGCTTTGCAAGCTGTGTGGTTTTTGTTGCAACTAGGCATCCCTGTTTGCAGTGCAAACACAGCCATAGGCAATCTGAAAATAAATTAATGTGGCTGTGTCTCAACAAAATTTTATTTACAAAAGTAGGCAGCCCCCCTGGCTATAGTTTTCTGACTTCTGCTCTAAGTTATTCTTTTTTTTTAAATCCTCATCGAGGATATGTTTATTTGATTTTGAGAGAGAGAAAGAGAGAGCGAGAGAGAGGTGATAGAGAAACATCAATTGGTCGCCTCCTGTGTATACCCTTATTTGGGATGGAACCCACAACCTAGGTATGTGCCCTGACCAGGAATCAAACTTGTCACCTTTTAGTGTATGGGACAATGCTCTAACCAACTGAGCCACCCAGCCAGGGCTGATCTAAGTTATTCTTAATCTCATGCAGTCCACTTTTCCATCACCATAGCCTAAGTCATCAACCCCTCAAGCCATTCTCTGAGAACCCTTGTTCTGGTGTGTTCCTCACTGTCTTTGAGCATCCACAGCCCTCCTTCAAAATGGGCTCAAAATTATCCTTCAAAATGGGCTCAAAAATATGTGTCTGGGTTGAAAAGATGAAGTAAAAAGCATCCTCAACTGAAATAGTTAAGACAGTAGATTTTATGGTTGTTTTTTTTAACCACAATGAAGAAAAGTAATATATAGTAGTTACCGAGGGCTTGAGATTGGGGGAGCGGGTGGACAGTTAATGTTGAACGGGTACAGAACTTCCAACATGATGTCTTCTTTAACTGCTTCACTTCCACTGCCCTGTGGAAGATTCTGGACCTCCTTCTTCTGGGACCCCATGGACTCCATTCATCTCTCCACCAAGCTTTAATCCCAGGTACTAGAGACCACCTAAACTGTCTTAATGAAGGCAGTAGAGGACAGTGGTTGAAATTTTAAAGTGAACAATCCAGTGGCATTTAGTATAGCCCTAGTCAATGTGGCTCAGTTGGTTGAAGCATCATCCTGTACACCAAAAAGTTGCAGGTTCAATTCCTGGCATGGCACATATCTAGGTTGCATTTTGATCCCCTGTCAGGGCAAGTATAGGAGGCAACTGTTCTGTTTCTCTCTCTTTCTTTCTCTCTCTCTCTCTCTCCCTCCCTCCCTCCCTCTCTCCCTCCCCCTCTTTAAAATCAATAAGCATGTCATCGAGTGAGAATTTTTTTAAAATTTAAGCCTCCACCTAAAGGTGGAAACAACAAAATGTCCATCAATACATGAATGAATAAACAAAATGTGGACCATCCACACACGGAATATTATTCAGCCATAACAAAAGGTGGTACACAGATACATGCTTCAACATGGATGAACCTCAAAGACATGCTACATGAAAGACACCGTACACAAAAGTTCACATGTTGTATGATTCTATTAACACAAAACATCCAAAATAGATAAACCCATAGGGACAGAACGTAGATTCAGGGCTGCCAGGGGCTTCTGGGAAGATGCAATGGCGAGTGACTGTTGAATGGGGACGGGGTTTTTGGCGGGTGATGGAAATTGTTTTGCGAGGAGGCCGAGGTGGTGGTTACACAACACCTGCTTCACCACCGAGCCTCTTGCTCCTTCCACGGGCTCATCTGTTAAATGGGGGCAAGAACAGTCCTTAGCTCACGTGCTTGTTCTGAGGATTCCATGATTTAATTCGCACGGGCATGGGCGGGGCCGGAGGCACGGTGAGCCTGCTGTAACAGTCAGCCATGGGCAGCTGGTCAAGTACACTCAGATAAACACTTCCAAGGGGATCGTTTGACTCCCTAGATGACCTCTCGGTTTCCATATGTAAATAAGTGGTGAGAGGCTTTCACTTGCAGCCTGACCAAGTGGGCGTTCTTGTTATGGGAAAGGCTGCTGATGAGCAAGTTAGCAAATAAGTATCAGGCCTATTTTCGGTCAGTAGTATTTACGGTCAGGGTTTTGTTTCACTTCCCCTCCCACATTGCCCATTCTCATGAGTCACCAAGCCCAGGATCTGTCCCCTCTTCTCCATCCCCTGACTGGGTCCTAACCTGATCCCTCTCTTCAGGACCATTGAAACAGCCTCATGCCTACACCCCCCACCCCCCAGCCTCTGGGCTTCGTTTCACCCCATCCAGCCCATCACCAGCACCAGCAGCAAAGAGAGCTTTCTAATACTCAGCTCCAACTCTGCCTGTCTCCCGGATAAACATCCTTCCACACCTCCACGTTCGAGGTCTCAACTCCAGTGGGAATTGTTCAAGAATCTTCACAACCTCACCGTCATCTACCTTGCTCCTTTCTCTCAGCCACCAACCGTCACACACTTCAGCCACACCCTTGACACCACCTGAAGACCTCCTGCTCCTTCTTTTTGTTAAAAAAAATATTTATTTATTGTCTGACTGATGTGGCTCAGTGGTTAAGCATCCACCCATGAACCAAGAGGTCACTGGTCTGATTCCCAGTCAGGGCACGTGCCCGGGGTTTGGGGCACGATCACCGGGAGGGGGCGTGCAGGAGGCAGCCGATCAATGTTTCTCTCTCATTGATGTTTCTATCTCTCTATCCCTCTCCCTTTCTTTCTCTCTAAAGTCAATTTTTAAAAATTTATTTATGGATTTTGAGAGAGAGAGAGAGAGAAACACATTGATTTGTTTTTCCACTTTTTTAAAAAATATATTTTATTGATTTTTTACAGAGAGGAAAGGAGAGAGATAGAGAGTCAGAAACATCGATGAGAGAGAAACATCGATCAGCTGCCTCCTGCACACCTCCTACTGGGGATGTGCCCGCAACCCAGGTACATGCCCTTGACCGGAATCGAACCTGGGACCTTTCAGTCCCCAGGCAGATGCTCTATCCACTGAGCCAAACCGGTTTCGGCTGTTTTTCCACTTTTTTAAAAAATATATTTTATTGATTTTTTACAGAGAGGAAGGGAGAGAGATAGAGAGTTAGAAACATCGATGAGAGAGAAACATCGGTCAGCTGCCTCCTGCACACCCCCTACTGGGGATGCGCCCGCAACCAAGGTACATGTCCTTGACCGGAATCGAACCTAGGACCCTTCAGTCCGCAGGCCGATGCTCTAGCCACTGAGCCAAATCAGTTAGGACTGTTGTTCCACTTATTGACGCATTCATTGGTTGCTCCTTGTATGTGCCCTGACCAGGGCCTGTCCCAGGTGTATCAGGATGGTGCTCTAACCACCGGAGGTACCTGGCTAGGGGATCCTGCCCCTTCTTGCCTCTCCATGCTTCATTCACATGGTTTCATCTCCCAGTCATAGTGTCCCCTT